ATCATTTATCTTTATTATTTTATTACATCTTTGTACTAGATTTTTTTATAATAACATCTATATTCTAATTTTTTATGATATTATCATGTTATTATATGACAATGCTCTATAAAGATCTATTTTGGTGTAAATCTTAACTTGATGGAATTGCTCCAAAAGCCTCAATATCAATCATAATGAATAACAATTCTTCACTCAAATTTTATTGACGTTGTGATAATCAATACATATTTAGAAAGACATATCATTTTTCCTCATGAAAAGTATTATTGCATCTATTGGAGATTTGAAATGCTCAATAAAATGTTATATAAGTTTTTTGTCTATATAATCCTTTAATACTAAAAGCTCGTCCTGTAATAGGTTATATATTAGACCAAATGGTAGTTGAATCCCTTCTTGAAGATTGATGGCACAATCATATAGTTGATGCTTTGGCATTATATTAGCATTCTTTTTTTTGAAGACATCTTAAAATACCTTATATTACTCTAAGATAGCTATTAGCAAGCTTGCTTCTTTATAAGTTGGAGTTGTATAAATAACAAATGACATTTTCTTTAGCAGTCTTCATAAAAGTCCTTCTTTTAAAAAATTAAGACTTTATTGTTGATAACTTCTTGATAGGTTTTGCATGAAGGGATTCTATAGAAAATTCAATCTTATAAAACCTCCAATCTTTAGATAGATTATATCTTTTTAACCACAAAAGTAATAGAATTATATGATTAGATGAGATTTTAATAATACTAAATACTATTTTGCTACTATGGCCCTCAAATGATATTTCTAGTAATATGGGCTTATGAATAATATTGCTTGAAGATAAACGTTGACCATCTATTACTTCTACATGCATAAGTTTTGACTTCTATATTAGAAGAAGTTTATGAAGTTTGAAAAATTCCTCATCTAAAAAGCAAGTAAGTGCTCTTGAATTTAGTAAGATATTTATTTAAAGTCTTTTTAGGCTAAGAAATAAAAGTATAGTAAAATTGGGCAAAGAGAGATGGACCTTGATGAATTTGAAGTATTGAAATGTCCATTTGTACGGTCCCTATTTTGGTTGGGCTTCCTTATTTTTCTGAATGATTGCACTGCTAGTCTTTGTTGTATGCTATTTTTTTAGATAGGTTCTAGATTTGTGGTCTTCATTACTATAATATAAGTACAAGCCTTCTTCAAATTGAAGCTTCTTCTCTTCTACTATAAGAGATTTGAATCGTATTATCAATTTGTGTATCCTCAGCTCTAGAGTGTAGAAGTAATATATTTGTTGAAGAAACAAAGTACAAATTTCTAGTGCATTGTTTTTACATTAGAAACTTCTTTTCAAATAAACATGCAAATTAAGAGAAAGATTTTCAATGAATAAGATTTTAATTTAATCAATTCACAACTCCTTTCTTATATAATATTCAAGTTGTAGAAAAGTTATCAATCAAATTTAGTTAACAAATCCTCAAAATTTTGAGCATGTGTCATTAAACTTTTTTTAGAAGACTAATCTAAGACTCTTTATGTTATTAAATAGGTAATTTTCTTATTGAGGTATATGTGCCATTTTCTCCTTGGATATAGAAGCTTGAAAAAGTAGTTACACTACAAGTTGACTTGCACCCAATCTTGAATCACCATTAAATCTTACAAAAATTCCTCAATTTCAACAGTTCTACAAGCTAAAGTATTTTATGTTTTCATAATAACATCTATTTTAGACTTGAGAGACTCAACCATATTAATATCTTCATTTCCAAACATCCTTTAAAAAAAAAAAAAAAAAAAAAAAAAAAAAAAAATTTAAAGAATATCAATTTAGATAAGAATACTTAGAAATCTCCAAAGTACTTAGATGCCTTCAAGAAGAAGAATAATCTATTTTTTTTTTATCAAAAATGATTAAGATCTAATATTGATAAGAAGGTATTTTTGAAATTTTTTTATAGATATATTATATAAGAGATCAAATAAGAAGTTGAACAAAAGAATTTTAATAAGAAAGCTAACAAGAACTTGATTAAACTAGATGAGTACAAGATCAATACCAAGAAAGTGAACTAGAGCTTCAAAAGATGTATTGTCAAGACTGAAGATCTCCTTAAGTTCAACTCAAATATATATTAGGTATTAAAAAGCTTCTCAAGAAGTTTTCATATTGCTTGAAGATGAAACAACTTTAGAAAGCTTCTCAAGAAGTTTTCATATTGCTTGAAGATAAAGTAACCTTAGAAAGCTTCTTAAGAAGTTCTCACATTGCTTGAAGATGAAGCAACTCTAACAAGCTTCTTAGATATCTTCTTTATTCTTCTTAGAGCTTTTTAGAATCTATTGGAATATTTTAAGAATTATCTAAAATCTTCTAAAATATTTTTAAAATCTTTCTAAAATCTTATGAAAAATTTTAGAACCTCATCAAATATTTTAATAATATTTTTAGAATCTTTTGGAATATTTTAAGAATTATCTAAAATCTTCTAAAATATTTTAAAAATCTTTCTAAAATCTTATGAAAATTTTTAGAACCTCATCAAATATTTTAATAATATTTTTAGAATCTTCTTATTGAATGTCTATTATATCATGCTCTTTATTTATAAAAGCTCTTTAGGTACATATATATATATATATATATATATATATATTCTATTGTATATATCTACAAACTTTACTCCAACTTCACTCCAACTTCTGTTTGGGTAGAAAAAACAACAAGTTAAAAATCTTAATGATGAAGTTAATGTGGTGGCGATTGATGCTTGTTAGTAATCAACACTTACAAATTAAAAACATAAAATTAGCTAAGACTTATTAAACTTAGTAGAATTTTCCAAACAATGACAAATCCTTGCAACCACTTTGCACTCTTATATCTCACTTTAGAGCTATGTTTCATTTTTTTTCTCTTACCAACTAATGAAGTACTTAAACAATATAGTTTCTCATTTAAATTTTGACACAAATAATATGTATATATTAATGAAAAAAATAAGGTAAAAAATTTACAATCCAAGAAAAAAAATTTCTATCAAATATTATCAAGGAAACAAAAAATATTAGTTAAGGGATATAAATCAAGTAAGGTACATCTCTATATGTATGTATGTATATACTAATGGACATAATTTGATTTAAAAAAATCTTTTGATGTATTTCAAAATATAATGTAAATAACTTTTAAAAAAAATTAACCATTTTTTTTTAATTATTTCTTCAGATATATTACATTTTTTTAATATGTACCATTTATTAGATTAATAAATAAAACCAAATAAATGTATACAACTATACTGATTCAGTCATCTGCCATTTTATACCCACAAGGAGAATTTAAATACCACATGTAATATGCAGGCCACATTGATTGCAAGTAATGCATGTTATTAGGCAAATAGCATGATTATGGCAATGTAAATGAATATTGTTACTTATACACATATGCATGTCTATTGGGTTTTTCAGATCCAGAATTAAGTCAATATTTGAATAAATATATACACATGATATATTAATTTGTCCATGTTATAAACTTAAGCTGATATAAATGCACAAAACCAGTAGATGTATTTGATTGCATAAATTTTAATTGCATAAAAATCATTTGTTTAAATCTAATTTATACAATAATAAAACTAATGATTTATTCTGAAATAAAGAAAAGAAAAATCTCCTTTAATTTCTTGAACAAATCTATTCATACTGTTGTGAAACAAGAGTTGTAGATTAGACAACTTTGAACTTGTGGTCAATAATATAACAAATAAGCTATCAAATATAATCCACATCAATAAATACTCTTGTATGAATTTTCTAAATGTTTTTCATGTACATACATACATACATACATACATACATACATACATACACGCTACAAGTACGAACATAAAAACAACGTTTTTGAATTTTATAAACAAAACAAATAGTAAGTAATAATCTCCAGATGGAAGTTAATATGTAGTATACACACACACACACACAGTATACAGATATATATATATATATATATATATATATATATATTAGAAAAAGAAGTGATGTGTAAGGGCTAATGAATAATTCTTCAGAAATGCAAGAGAGCACTCTTTTTATAACCAAGGCTTCAACCTAAATTTGTGTCCAAAAAAAGATGGACACCACGTGAAAGCACAGCACAACAGAACTCATTTCCTCCCCATTACTAGACATATCATTCCTCATGGAGCAGAAAAAAATTAGAAGCAAAAAGGAGAATTGTGTCAGTGGGCATCAATTTTATCCTCTGGCAGCCAGGTCCCAATTAGCAACCTCACCTTATCTAACACAGTAAACAAATTACTTATTTTATTATTCACACACGTTCATACCCCACTTTATTCATTCCTTCAAAACCCATATTCCCTTAAGGAATCAACACCTGAAAAACCCTGAAATAGAGTTAGGAATTCGAAGCGCCAGCTGAGGTGGTGGGCAAAGGCTGGTTGGTGAAACACAAACGACGTTGGCATCACATCGTGTGGAAGTTTGGAGGCGGCCATGAAGAGCGGAGTGCGAGTGAGGGGGTGGGGATGATGGTGATGAAGATGATGCCGCTAAGCAGGCGAAAAACAGAGAGCCGATAAATAAAACGGTGCGAGTGAGGGGGCTGCGAGGAGGGCTCAGACAAAGGCAGAGAAAAGGGGGCTCTCTCGTCTGTTGAATTGCGCACCACGATGGCAAATCGGCGCTGCTTCGCCCGCATTTGCACGCCCCCGGTCACGCCCTGCTGGCCCTCACTCCCTCCCTCTTCTGCCATCGTCGGGGACGCCAGGACATGGAGCAGCGTCTTGCCGGGAATGGACGAACGAACGTTATTCTGGACCGACGGACGAATTTAACGACGGGCTGGTTGGAAAGTGGACGGAATCCATCCACGGGCAGTGGTCGCGGCACCGCGTCGTTCCGAAATGGACGAGTTGAGCGGAGTGGGCGGATGAAGTGGATGCGTGGGAGGAGATACCTTTATTTATTTTTTTAATGTTCTTTTTGTTACGTTTTTTTGTTGTTGGTGTACGAGGTTTGTAGGATGCTTCGGGTTCTGGCTGGGGGGTCGCGGACGGCGAGTGACGCGGTGGATCCTCTTGTTGTGCGGAGTGTTGTTGGTGTAGTGGAGTGAGTTGCAGGATTTTAGTGCCAGTGGTAGTGGCGGCACAAGCTTGGTGGATGAGGTGGTGCGCCTTTGAGTGGGGGGGGGAGGGGACCATGGATAGACAGTGGATGGCAGACTCGGTCAGTCGCCGCGATGTTGTCGGATGCATGTTGCAGTTGCGGTTGATTCCCTAGCGTAGCACAGTGTGTGTGCGTGTGTGTGTTTTTTTTTCTTCTTTCGATTGTGTGGATGCTGATGCTGGCTTTGTACAAGCAGCACGGGTGGCGCACTGTTGTGTGATGACTGGTGGAGGCGCTTTTGCGTCGAGGAATGAGCAGGTTGCGAATGAGGACAGTTTCGAAGCCGGGACAGTTTCGAAGCCAGAATAGGTTCCGCCAGTGTTGGCTCATGGAATAGGTCGACGCAGGCGGGAGCTGACGCAGTTCGTTTGCGAGGGGACTCGTGGATTTTGGGCGGGTTTGAAAGGGAAAATTTTCCATGATGGAGAGTTCTCATGTGGTGCAACTGTCTGGTGTCTGTGAAGATCAAATTCTCTGGCACAATGGGTTGGCTGCAACTGCGTGACGGCGTTCAGCGAGGAAACAGCGGTTGGTCTTCGGGCTTAGAAATCGGCTACAGTGGTGTGGGAAATAGTGTCTGCGATGAGAACGTGGAGTTTTTACATCCGGGTGTGATGCTTGAGGCCTCATTCCCATTCGCGGATGGTAGTGTCGCGGCTTGGGGGCGTAGAATTTGCAAGATGGGTAGTTGGAGGGGAGCGAAAGCGACGAGGGTCGACGAGGATCACTTCCCATTGCTTCAATTTCCGGATGAAATTATTGAGAAGGTGATTGGCTTCCTCACAAATCCGGTAGATAGGAACTCCACATCCTTGGTGTGTACGCGCTTGAAGGCTATTGAGGGCGAGTCGCGGGAGACCGTGCTAATCTCCAACTGTTACGCAATCCAGCCGGGTACTCTAAAGTCGCGGTTCCCGAATGCGAAATCCATCACTATCAAAGGCAAGCCTCGCATCGTGGATTTCTCGCTGATTCCTCACGCCGAGGTATGGGGTGCATACGCCACCCCCTGGGTCGACTTGCTGAAGGAACACTACCGGCCTATCAGGCACCTGAAGATGAAGCGCATGACGATTTCAGATTCCGACATCAAACGCTTTGTGAGTGCTTGCGGGTATAGTCTGGAGAGGCTGGAGTTCGAGAAATGTTCTGGGTTTAGTACCACGGGGTTGCAGTACATAGCTGGGGCATGTCGCAACCTGGTTGTCCTGAACCTCTCTGAAGCCGACATTCTTCAGGGTGATGCACCCTACTGGATGACAAGCCTCGTCAACACAGCTAGTTCGCTCCGAGTCCTTGATCTCTACCTTACGGAAGTGGAGGATGTCGAACAGAGTGTGCTTGAGAGGCTAGCTAAGCAGTGTCACACTTTAAGGTTATGCGATGCTCTGAAGATAAATCATGTGTTACCGGTTGTGACGGCCGCTTGCGAAACAGTCCGCCACTTAGGCATAGGGTAAGTTTTGGATTCCTATACTAGCATTTGGTCGAGGTCAGGTTTACTCTTTGCAGGAATTTACGTAGAGTTTTTTGTGCCTGAAAATGCAGCAATCGATTGATGGTATATTCATTGCTGCTGTGCTTCCTTTGCAGGCTGAGTTTTCAGAACGGTGACAGCCCCAATCAGATAGCAGAGGCGCTTGGGAGATGCAAGGAGCTGGAAGGAATCTCAGCGGTGTGGGATCCTGACGAGGTATCGGCGATGATGTTGATGCCCGTTGCTGCTCGGCTTAAGACTTTGGACCTCACCTACGCCCTACTCGAACAGCCTGAGCTCACGGACCTGCTTGGCGCTTGTGTGAATTTGGAGGATCTTCAGGTATTCTCCGAGACTTTGTAAGTTCATTTTTGTGTTAAGGTTATCAACCTTTATGTTGTGCTTTGCACAAGTGATTTCGAACACTTGTTTTTCTAGCAGATACTGACAATTTTCTGTGATTGCGGCCAGTGCACTGATGTCATACGAGATAGGGGACTGCTGGAAGTCGGCACCTGCTGCAAAAAGCTGAGAAGTCTAGTCGTTCAACAAGACGCAGCGGGTTTTGTAACACAGAACGGTTTGACTGCCGTGGCGAAAGGGTGCTTCTTGCTGGAGAAGATCATCATATACGCCGCTGATATGACCAATGAAGCTTTGGAGACTCTTGCAACCAATTGCCCTAATTTATCTGATATCCGCATATGCCTTGTCCAGAAGTACGATGGTTCCCATCCAGTGTGTCTCTAACCCTCTTCCTCCTCTCGCCTTCTGAATCATTCCCTCTGTTTTGCACACCAAACTTTACCTTAGATGTATCTTTTATTCATGTGGATTGTAGCCATGTTTATCAGTTAGTCATGGTTCTCCGCCTACATTGCTTTTCACTGGGGATTTGCAGGTCGTGGAGTTGGAAGGAAACTCCACATTGAATTTGGGAGTCAAGGCACTTCTGATGAAATGTCCAAAAGCTCGGCGGCTGGCGCTCTGTTTCAGCAGATTTGGCTTGACAAATGTAGTGATCACCGACGAGGGCATGAAGCACATTGGCGAATATGGAGGCAACCTTCACATCATCACGCTTACAAATTGTGGCGGCAGCAATGCAGGCCTTGAATACATTGCCAAGGGTTGTAACGAGCTTCGGAAACTCGAGCTTCGTCATTGTCCATTTGGAGATGCAAGTAAGTCGGTCGCAAGTTTGTAAAATTTGAGTGCTCAATGACATGTTTAGTTTGATATATCTGATTCTTTTTGAGTTTCTGTTTGCCAACACGATATTGACTCATACTCAATGTCAGGTATGGAGGCCCTTGCTCGTGGGTGCAAAAGCTTGAAGCAACTGTGGGTTCAGGCCTGCCAAGTTGAGCTCAGGGGTGTGAGGTTGTTGGCTCAACGACCAGGCTTGACTGTGGAGATTGTCGAGGAGAGCAACAATGACGGCGATATCACTCCATGGCAGCTCATTGCCTACGCTTCCGTTGCACCCCCGCGGAAAGACCTTCCGGACAACATCGACTATGTCCACGAAGGATACTGCAAGCCTCTCTACTGCAAGAATTATCTGTGCCCCAGCACCGTTTAGTAGATGGGCTTGCTTTTTAGGAGTACAGGATGACTGAACTGGATAGAGCCATGCGGCAGAACGAGAAATCACACGGTGTTTGTTAGAAACCAGGGTACGAATGGGAGGAATGACGAGGCGGGTGATAAGACATTTGTTTTCTTCTTTTTTCCTTTTAAACAAAAAAATTCCCGACGCCATATATACGGTGATGAAGAATGAGCTTCACTCTTAATCGATGGCCATTTCCTGCTGGCTAGATCCTGAGAAACAGAGTCTAGGAATCTATCAGCTTCCGAGCATCCGTAGTTTCAAACACGAGAGAACTGTGGAGAAGGCGATAGAAGACGTTTCTACTTCTTTCATGGTTGACTTGCCATGTATAGTGATCAATATATTTGGGGTTTCTTCAGTACAACGTGCTCAAACTGACTCCATCTGTAGAATGAAAACAGTTCAATATAATGTAGTGTTGTAATGCAACTCTGATCTACTCAATTCAGAATCGATCCACATGACAGACCAAGTCACTGCACCATCTGTAGAGTGGAAATATGCGACTGCAAGGCTGTCGGCATGTTCCCTTGAGGAACAGTGTCGATAATATCAGATCTATGAAAGTGGTGTATATATTTATTGGCAATTCTTGCAAGGTTCAAATGTCACTTTACAGGTTTTGTTTGGGGGACCGTAGTAGCCACCAAATGTGGTTTGAGGACAACCGTCATGCTGTAAACGGAACAAAGTGTACAACAAAGGTCTGTCCAACCATGTGCAAAGAATAGATACCCAATCCTGCAAGACCAAAGTATTGTACAATGTGTTCATATCTGCGTTGGAAATGCTGTGCAACACTAGATGCCTGCAATAATCGTAACTCCTCAACGTACAATGACAAATCAGTATTCGTGTTTGGTATTGATTATACAATATTACAGAACTATTTTATGTTGCATACATAATAATAGCATTCAAAATATTAAATGTCTACACCACAGACACACATATATCCACACACACACACACACACACATATATATATATATATATATATATATAAGAAAATATTAATTAGTTTTTTTATATGGTTTAAATTTGATTTATGATTTTCAAAACTTTTTACAATTTTTTTTTTAAAATTTCTTTTGAAATTCACTTTTTCTCAAGTTTAGGTCATTTTTTGCAAGTTTTTTGCAAGTTTGATTTTCACTTGAATTTTTCATTGTGTAAAATAAATTTTTTTACTTAAAAGGGGATTTGTTTAAATAAAACTAGTATTTAAAATAAAATATATATTGATATAATAACGTCTGTTTTAATTCATTTATATTTTATTTTGCACAAAATGCAAGCCTACCAGTTTTTAGCTTACCCCCTTTTTAAAAGTAATTTAAAGGAATTTAGCTTTTTTGTGGTTTTTTGATGGTTTTTTTTTTTAATTAAAAATTTGATTATTTTTTAAAATAAAAATTATTTTCATTACCATCATTTTTGGTATTATTACTAAAGTCCAAATTTCTTTTGTATACAATTAATTCTGAAAAGAACATTTGTAATTAGGAAATATATATATATATATATATATATATATATATATATATATTATTAGTAAAAAACTTACTCCATTCATTGTTATTTAAAAAACATGATTAATACAAAACTTATTCCATTCATTGTAAAATCCTAAGCCAGTGGCTAAGTATGTAATTCTACTAATATTTTAAGGATTTGAATTAATATTGCATCATCTAGCATTCTCATTTTATTTGGCATTCTCACTACACCATTACTTAATATTTACACCAAATCCACAATTTTATATGACAATTCCACAGTTATTCAGTGAATAATAATCATCAATCCAATATCTTTCAATTACTATAAATCATTGCTAATTAAACAAAAAAATTAAGATATAAATAATATAGACACATTTATTTATGTCTTTATTTTTTCTTTTTTATTTATACCATTGGTGTTTCAATTTCATCTAAATAAAAATAATATTGGTTCTTCTTACATAATTTGTTTGTAAAAGATTTTAAACTTTTATTTAGAAAATAGAAAAGTATTATAATAAGTAAAAGAATTGAATAATAATATTAGAAGAGAAGAAAATATTTCTCTAGAGAAGCTTAATGTTGCCTTCCTATTATTGAATTGCAAACATCAACCTCTTTTGAATGTTTCTTAGGTTGCTAGATGATACATTGATCCATGATTTCATGGCCAGGTGCTTTCCCCCCTACTAGAGATGTCACCAAATTGCCTAGGTAGTAGATGTGTGTTGTCTATGCTAGCATTTGATTTCCTCTCAGTTTGCCATTTAGATTTTTTTTTTTTTTTTTTTTTTTTTTTTTGTACAAATTTGCTAGTACGTTTTTTTGTCCATGTGTCAAGTTTAGAGAAGAATTGATGCATCTGGTAGTTGAATATGAATGGCCAACATTAGCACAAATTCCTTGTCTATCACCACAACTTCTAGCTGATGCTTTGTAATGAAAATCTCCTCAATCTTGGTCAAAGCCCAAATATAATTGTTCTCTAGTTCGGCTGTCATGAAGCAAAAATAAGTAGAAAATATCTAGTTTGTTGAAGTTATGCTGACAACATGCAATAGCGGCATTTTAAATTGATTTGTTTTGTAAGCCAAGTTTATGAGGCTTACATGCAAAAATTCTTGTGTTAATACCATTGCTATGGGTGGCACAAAAAAAAGATGCCTGAGTTGTCTTTTGGCATTGTGCTGATAGGCATGTCATACATTCTAGGGGTGTAAGTCATTCACCAATATCTTGAGCAGTGTCCATCTATTGAGCTCTATATTTTGGAGATGAGCTTTCTTGTTTTAGATGTCTTTTGAAACAATCCAAGGGTTGACATCCCATTGTTTCAAGATTGCAAGAATGATTTTATATGCCGCATCTCCATTTGATATTTATGTGAAGGTTTTATAATCATTATAAAAGAATTTATAGGCAATCAAAAATTTGTAGACAAGTCTTCCATACCTTAATAATTGTACTATGCATTTTTTACATGAATTCTCCACTCTACTATATGTACATCATTAGAAATTTGCATCACATCATTATATTTGTCATTAAGATCAATACATTCATTGACAATTGCTGGTGCTGTGATATTTTTGTTGGCCTTGATCAAAAAATATTGTTGAATGGTAATGGACCATAGACAACTAGTACACCTTGTGCTTGTCTTCTTTTTATGTGTTTTTGTCAATGAAGAATGCTTTATTTTTCTAATAATCACTATCATGACTACAAGTAAGCCTAATTCTTTTGAAGTTGTTAATATTGCTCTTCTTTGTACACAAGCTTGACATTGTATATCCCTCTAAAAGAGCAAATATTTGCACTTGGTCTCTGCTTCTTCCAATGATGTATACGCACAATTTCTTGGCAAAGGCAACATGTTACAAGAGAAAAGAAGGGCAAGAGAGAAAGGTGCATCCATCCAAAGGGTTAAATGAAAGAAGGGATGTGTGTATAGTCAACTTTTTTATTAAGTCAAACTTGTAGTCAATGATAGTTGAAAAATGTTGTCTAATTAAAAGAAGGGAGTGGATCTATCAAGAGAGAAGTGTATGCATAGTCAACCTTTTAATTGATAATTATATTTTAAAATATACATATTATTTTTTATTATATTTATTATTTTTAGTATAAATAATCATTAATATAGATATAAAACTTAAATAAATATGAAAAATATCATATTTTTTTATAACATATAATTTAAGAAATTAAAAATATTTAATAATCTTCTAAAAAATAAAGAATACTTGTCAAACATGAATACAAGGCATAAAGAAAAATAAAAAAATATAAACCAAGAAATACTATTACAACTGTACAATTTGAATAGATTACAAAAATTAAATTTTACGCCTATTTTTAAGATTTTTTTTCTAAGGATAGCATTAAATACACAAGATATTTGAGAAAATAACAATTTATGAAGAAAAAAATGTATAAAATATTAAAAGTGTTAGTTATAAAAAAAGCCTAAAAAATAAAAGAAATTAAAATTTTAAAGGTATAAATTTATATTGCAAAATTTTTAAATTTTAATATTAGATAAATGAATCAAAGAATAAATTAAATCAAAGAAATCTATATTTTTATATATTTTAATTAATAAAAAAATAAATTATATATACTTTTAAGGATCTTTTTTGGTATTTAATGGATACACTTTTTTTAAGAAATAAAAAAAATTAATAATTAATTTAAATCAGAAAAATTATTAAAAACCTAAAAAGTGTATCATCTTTGAAATTTAGTCAAAAGACTTATTATAAAGTTACATATGTTAATATATAGCATTTTAAGAAAGAAATTTTTTATGCATACTTTTATACAATAAAATAATATCAAATTAAAAAACATAATAGAACTTTTATATTATTTTGATTTAAAAATATATTATATTAAAATAATATTATTAATATTAATTTTTTATTAGACTATAGATATATATATATATATATATATATATATAAGATATATCTATTCAAATTCATCATTCAAAATATGATTCATGTTTTAAAGTAATATATATAATGTATCATTTAATTTTTGTAAACATATGATTAAAAAAAGAACAATCAAAATATGAAAAATAATATATATAAATATATATATATATATATATATATATATATTAAAAATATTTAAAAATTATAAAATAAAAAATAAAAAGTATATTTATACATAAAATAATTCATTGTCTATTTGTAATGGAAAAATTAATCTATAGAAGTAATAGATTATAATATAATGCATCATCTTAGATATTGTTATCCACATCCAACAAGAAGATTTTAGAAATATTTTCAGAATATTTTAGAAGGTTCTAGATGGTTCTTAGAATATTTTAGAAGATTCTAAAAAGTTCCAAAAGAATTAAGGAAGTTTTTTGGGAAGCTTTATTGAGTTGCTTCAAGCAACATGAAAACTTCTTAAGAAGCTCCTTAATACCTAGTATATATTGGAGTCAAAATTGAGGGGATCCTCAATCTTAATAATACATCTCTTAGAGCTTATTTCTCTAGATGTTGATCTTGTACTCATCTTGTTTAATCAAGTTCTTATTAGCTTTCTCATTGAACTCTTTTATTCGACTTCTTGTTTGATGTCCTATATAGTGTATCCATAATAAATATTACCACAGTTCTTAAATAAATAAAAAATTAAATAAAAATATAAAAATATAATCAAAAAAACATATCTACTATAAAAAAGAACAAAATAATATATTTTTTTCTCTTATATCATATATTGAAAAAAAGATCAATTTGATAGTTTTAAATTTTTTAACTCAATATAATGATTTTATTTATTACTATGATTATTATTAATAATACTTTAAAATAAATAATAGAAATCAAATTTGCATTATAAATTGAAGCAATATATACAAAAAATATTCATTAGATTAAGTTATGAATTTAAAAATTATATATATATATATATATATATATATATATATATAT